AATCAATAAATTGCTAAATTAGTTTTCCCCAAAAGTTCTATCCAATATTGAGTACATGTAGTCCTCATGGCAAAGGAGGCATTTGCATAACTCTGAAAAGCTTAGGTTTTAGGCAGTGATTGTCTGACTTTCATTTACTCAACTGATACTGAGCAATCCAAATGCATGACAACTTTAAACAGGTTGAATCAAACTGCTCATATGAATGTTACCGTGACCTCGTCTTCCATGGGGGTGCTTTCATCGCAAGTTATCCTTAATCCTCCAGAACGCCACTTAACTAAGAATTGCTCTCCGGTGATCGGAGCCATATATCCATACTGCACCTTGAAAATAATAATGTTGAGAAAAAGTAACAAATATTTCAAATGCATTTTCACTCAACAAAGTATATCATAAGTCTAATACAGAGAGAGAAAGGGGGGAAATGAAAGAAAAAAAAGAAACATATAAAGACAAAAATTACATTGAAACATAAATAAATTCAATTCGAAACTGCTGAAGTTTAGTAATCAAAAAGTCTAAATGAGGATATACTGAAAATAAGAATCTGCAAATATTACTAGAGATATTTTAGCCTTAATAATGAAGATAATATTAAAGACAGTAATAATATCAATATTTGCAATTTTTGGTTAACATTGATTTATTGTGCAAACTTGCACAACAATTAACATGATAATAGTCCAGGATATAACCAATTTATTGGTAGAAGAAGGACATTATAAACTGGACAATAAGTGGGTCTTATTTACCCAAAGTAAGCACATCAGTATTAATGCTTCTCTTCCTGCGAACCCTCAAATTATTATTACCTTACATTGCCAGGTACCCATGTACATCTGGATGGAGAGTAGTAATTGTGGATGTATGTCTTACCAAAGGACCTCAGTGCCTGACTGTGATTCGAAACCCAAACTTATGGATTAAAATTATAGTAAATTGCCAACAATACCACCATGACACCTCTATGTGATCCGTTTACTCTTGATTTTTTTGTTGATTAAAGTTTACGACCGTATGTGACTAATGTAGGGATATTATAAAGGCAAATTATTAAAGAAGATGATGATAAAGGGCACAGAAGAGGAAAATGAGAGGGAAAAAAGAAGAAAAAACAACCAACCTTTTCTTCAATGTTTTCATCCCTTACATGGACGAACATCACGTGTTTTGCATTTCTCGGAGTTAACACTGGAATGAACGGTGTACAAATAACACGTTTTCCGATGAATACCCATGTGATGAGAGCTACAATCCAAAATTCAGAGAAGTGGTCCATGTAGACATCCAGGTCTCGATGTCTTACAACACATCGTGGGCTGCCGTTGGAAGAAGGAATCGCTGTAAAACTGTCAGAAGCTAATCATGCAAATAACAACAAAGAAAATGTAGTAAACGTTCGTTAACCAATGGCTTAGCATACCTTTAATATAAGAATATCTTATACTTCAATGCTAAAACCTATATGTTCAGCAATAAGTATCGCAATATTTACATTATATCACGAAATATCAGCAATAATATATTTTCCTCTCTAAACACTAATCATTAATGATATTTCTACCCTATTTTCCCCATCCAAACTAATACTACCTCATGTCTTAGGGTTCAAAGAGAGGTTATTTTTAGTGGAATGGAATAACAGCCAACAATTGACTTTTGTAACTTCAATTAAATTCCTTTATCATATCTATTAATGTATTTAATGAATGGCAATGTGAATGGGTCAGCCAGAGAGAGAATGAGAACGACCAGACTTTACCACTCTTGCGATAATAAGTGACGACTTTTGCAGCCTCTGGCCTTGTGAATATACCACAATGGGGCATCGTTACTGTCACTGGAATTTCAAAGGTTGCATCGGATGGCGACATTCTCAAGCCGAAGGAAATAATGGCTTCCGTTTCCTTCAGCGCCAACCCAGGTGGAATGTCAAAGATTGGTTCGACGGTGACATCCTTTGCTCTGTAAGCTTGATTTGGAGGAATTCTAACTTCAATACCATACTTCTCAAGCCGAATCACGTCAGTATCCTCACTCAAATCATCCCTGCTTTCACTGAGAACTGGGATTTTTTCCGGAGGGGCACTCGTTGAAAAGATATGGTGAACAGACTCTATTATCTGTCCCTCGTCATCTATAGGTTGTGAAGTGTACTCATGCGGTCTGAAATCCACCTGCTTTACTCCTTCCCTAGATTCCATCCATGCAACAATGGCTTGCTTAGAATGCTCTTTTTCTGTACATGATATTGGGTAAAATTCTAGTAACAATAACTGGATTTATTAGCGCCTTTTTCCTGAAATAAAATCCTACTTTTGAACCGAATCACCAACGTTGAGGTTGTTGAGGTATTAAATTCCAAAGCTCTTCGGAAACGCATAGAGACCATATAATGTGATATGCGCTATACAAAAACCAAACAATAATGTAATTATTACTGGACTTTTTGAAGAGTGATTTTACGATAAGAATAAACAATAATACATAGAAGATAGTGTTATACTTTATATTCTTGCATAATAATAGGGGTATGTTTTTTTAATTGTCGTTTAATTAATATTGTATGAGAACGAACATGTAAACATGATGCAATTACTGCTCTTTGGACATGATCCATAATAAAGATAAAAGGAGATACCTACCTTCATATTCAAAATGCTCGTCAATACTCAGAACTCTAAAGTAAAAGACCAAAATTGTATGCAAAGTTTTAGCAATATCCAGGTACAGACAAAAGATACGTATCATCTTATAGCAATTTAAGATTCTATTATTAACACGAAATTCATTTGATCGTCATGTTGACATTTTATATGACTATCCAGTAATTGTTTTCGAAAATTATATCAAAGAAGGTGTAGAAATAGAGTGATCAATGAAACCTTGATCAAAAATGATCATAAAGCCAATATTTAGCCATTCAGTGGTAAGGAAGGAAATGTAACCTGGTTTTAGCAGTAGAAACTTCACCGGCTGCTGCTGATGCATCTTGAACAGGAATGGCGGCTGATGTAGATGGCGACGGTCTCGAGGATGTGGTAACTGTGTCTCCTAGTGATGTCTCGGTTATTTCTGATTGTAAGAGTAGGACATTTTTTGACTTCGTAAAAATATTTATTTATTATGTTCGTGTTATTGGTTGTAAAATGATGTTGCAGTAGACATTTGTTTGCGATTTAATCAAAAAACATAATCGTGTAATGAATGTTAATTTGAATTGAGTTGAAACAGATTCACAATCTTTAACTTTTGCCTCGAACCAAAACTAGGTATAACATTGGAAGTGTCCTTCAAATACACTACACAGTACTACAGATAAGTGCTCTGTTGTGTTTGTGTGTATTACATCCTTTGCCTGATATAGCGGTGTACTGTTCATAGACTAGATAGGCATGCTAGATGATGTTTTACTAAGCTGGTTGTTCGTGAAGAATATTCTCTAATTTATTGTCAAAGAAGCAAAATAAGGAGGCAAAGAGGTTAGTTAGAAACATTGCTTATTTCGTGTTTAAGAAATTCCTTGTTTGTATAGTGATGAGTTTATATTAAAGGGATCCGGTAACTTTGTCTCAGATTCTGAAACAAAATTCTGGATTTAGCTCATGATGCAATGATAATTATAAACCTTCAGGTCAGTCAGGAACCCCATGACTTTTAGAAGCCGATCGCCTGTCTGATTATCAAGATATTTATGATTGGAATTACAAATTTTGAAAACCGTTCGCCTTACTGTTTTCATAACACTACAGTCTATTGGGGAAAACGAGTATGGTAAAACCGGTCACTCAAAGATTTTTACTATTTTGAGGCACTTGTTGATCATTTTGAAGCGCAATTTCTTTAGGGCTTCAATATTACATTATATCACAGACACTGATAACACGTAGGGCCGTGTATCTCAGATTTAACATTGTTAAACGATCCCTTTAACATTGTGTGTGTGCCACACCTTTTCAGTACATTAATGTGTGTACAATTGCTATTAAACATACAATGATAGATGGAAAGTACTTCATACTAGCTAGCTCAGTCAGGTTTATTTATAGTATTGCAATCGCTAGTGAAATAATGTGATGTTTACTTTGGTATTCTATTTTATGTTGAATTGTTAGAATACTTACAAATAGAAAGTGTGTTGAAATTGAATTGATAGATGTAGGTCACCATGGTGCCTGACAGAAATAGGCACTTCTTGGTAATGATAATGCAGGATTTACTGTTGGTTGAGTCGAAGAATTTGCTCTTTATTACTAACTTGTAGAACCTGATTAGCTTACTATCAATGAACATTTATACTTTGTGTTTTTCAGTATTCATAGTCTAAGCAAAAAAACAGTTATAGGCATTCATCTCTTAATTAGCTTGTTTAGTAATTGTATTTTATTACGTTCTTGTTTTCAGTTTTCACTGTAAACTGGAATGAACGAATAAATGATCAAATGAAAGATTTGGAAAGAAGAATACGAAATAAATAAATGAACACTTTGAGATTCCAAAATAAAGAGACATTCCCGTAAAAACCTTGTCCGACTTTATCATTGCGTCTGACAACTACAACTACAATCATAATGTTCATCCATGATAAAGATTTTGTACATGGTTTGAAATTCAATGGATGTGATGAGGAAAACAACTTCCTTTACTAAAATTTGCCGTTGAAAATAAATTAAAGTGGCAGTTACTTTTTAAAGATAAAATAGACAAAAAGAGCCGAAGTCAAGATTCACGCTTCTATCTCATCCGTCAATGGCAAGGGGCATTTCATTTATTCTATATTCACGAGGAAACTATTGTAACCAAATGTTATGAAGTTTCAACACCCTTGGTGATACATTTTAAAATAAAATATAAACAGTTTCCTATGATGCATTGGTTATTTTCTACTACCTTTCTAAACCTTTCAAAACTTGACAGATTGAGTGAATGACAATCTGTTGTTGATTTGTCAGTTGGTTTGAATCTAGTTAATGTTATTTACCTTCTACTAAGTGCATGGGAACCAGTAGCTGCTTTGTTGTGCTTTGTTTCATGATGAAGTGTAATATCACTTCATTCGTGTCAGTGGCTCGTGTATCCACTGTGTACATCACTTTGTGCTCAGTCAGATGGCGAATCTCACTTTCCTGTAGAGTCTACCAAAAAAAAAAAAACGCACAATATTTGTGTGTGTATACATCTTTATTTACATTGTACATACCGTGTGATTCAGAAAAAAAGTTTACACCTAGAAAATTGCTAGTTAAAAAAAAACCATTTATGAACAGTAATTATTATACATCTTATGAAAGAGTGTTTTATCCCAAATAATCTGGTATCATTTTTGTGTGGTATGTGCTCACGCTTGGATAAACAGGAGGCATTGTTTGCGAGTGTGCAAAAATCGACTTGCGCCAAAGTGATGCCTACAGTATTTATTATGTTGGGATTAGCGGAGTGAGAGAATGAATTGAATGTATCAAATGTAATGCATTGCATATACTTTTTGCAGAAGCAAAGTCACACACACACACACAAACACACACGCGCACAAATGTTTGTTGATATTTGATATTCGATATTTGATGTGTGGCATGATTAATTTTGTTATGGATCTTCAAATACCGAAGTAATACCTAAATCCCAATTGTTTTATTTGAACATCACATAAGCAACTTTGCGCTAGTCGATTTTTGCACCCTCGCAAACATTGCTTCCTGTTCGTCCAAGCGTGAACACATACCACACAAAATTACACTAAATGATTCTGGCTAAAACACTCTTTCATGAGATGTATCCTAATTTACTGTTCATAGATTATTTTTAAAACAATTAGCAATTTTCTACGTGTAAACTTCTTTTTGACTCACACTGTATAAATAATATATATGTATGTACGTATGTATGTTTGTATTTATGTATATAAAACTTTATAATGTACTGTACAATTCGTACGTATTAAACCCGTCATACAAAAACGCCGATGAACGGCCTACAGTAGTATTGAAGTATTGGAATGACCCACATGCTGACACTCTTATTTCAATCCATGCTACCTTGGATAATTAATTTGTAAATTTTGTAGATCTTAGTATGCTGTTCTTAGATCTCTTAAAAAAGAATCGGTTGAAAACGGTCCAATCGTGAATTAATACGTTACACCAATATCTAAACCATTCTTTCATATATCGAACATATTATTCCACACCCTTATACGAGTTGAGCAAAATATTGACGAATTTGAGTAACATACTATCCACTGTATTTTAGGTTAAAAGTTTATCAGCTAATTTTGGTTAACTGGATTCCCAAAATCCAGATAACCAGCCATAAATTGCACGAACTTAGTTACATATTCTGTGGTCAATCAATAAATTGCTAAATTAGTTTTCCCCAAAAGTTCTATCCAATATTGAGTACACGTAGTCCTAATGGCAAAGGAGGCATTTGCATAACTCTGAAAAGCTTAGGTTTTAGGCAGTGATTGTCTGACTTTCATTTACTCAACTGATACTGAGCAATCCAAATGCATGACAACTTTAAACAGGTTGAATCAAACTGCTCATATGAATGTTACCGTGACCTCGTCTTCCATGGGGGTGCTTTCGTTGCAAGTTATCCTTAATCCTCCAGAACGCCACTTAACTAAGAATTGCTCTCCGGTGATCGGAGCCATATATCCATACTGCACCTTGAAAATAATAATGTTGAGAAAAAGTAACAAATATTTCAAATGCATTTCCACTCAACAAAGTATATCATAAGTCTAATACAAAGAGAGAAAGGGGGAAAATGAAAGAACAAAAAGAAACATATAAAGACAAAAATTACATTGAAACATAAATAATTTCAATTCGAAACTGCTGAAGTTTAGTAATCAAAAAGTCTAAATGAGGATATACTGAAAATAAGAATCTGCAAATATTACTAGAGATATTTTAGCCTTAATAATGAAGATAATATTAAAGACAGTAATAATATCAATATTTGCAATTTTTGGTTAACATTAATTTATTGTGCAAACTTGCACAACAATTAACATGATAATAGTCCAGGATATAACCAATTTATTGGTAGAAGAAGGACATTATAAACTGGACAATAAGTGGGTCTTATTTACCCAAAGTAAGCACATCAGTATTAATGCTTCTCTTCCTGCGAACCCTCAAATTATTATTACCTTACATTGCCAGGTACCCATGTACATATGGATGGAGAGTAGTAATTGTGGATTTATGTCTTACCAAAGGACCTCAGTGCCTGACTGTGATCCGAAACCCCAACTTATGGATTAAAATTATAGTAAATTGCCAACAATACCACCATGACACCTCTATGTGATCCGTTTACTCTTGATTTTTTTGTTGATTAAAGTTTACGACCGTATGTGACTAATGTAGGGATATTATAAAGGCAAATTATTAAAAAAGATGATGATAAAGGGCACAGAAGAGGAAAATGAGAGGGAAAAAAGAAGAAAAAACAACCAACCTTTTCTTCAATGTTTTCATCCCTTACATGGACGAACATCACGTGTTTTGCATTTCTCGGAGTTAACACTGGAATGAACGGTGTACAAATAACACGTTTTCCGATGAATACCCATGTGATGAGAGCTACAATCCAAAATTCAGAGAAGTGGTCCATGTAGACATCCAGGTCTCGATGTCTTACAACACATCGTGGGCTGCCGTTGGAAGAAGGAATCGCTGTAAAACTGTCAGAAGCTAATCATGCAAATAACAACAAAGAAAATGTAGTAAACGTTCGTTAACCAATGGCTTAGCATACCTTTAATATAAGAACATCTTATACTTCAATGCTAAAACCTATATGTTCAGCAATAAGTATCGCAATATTTACATTATATCACGAAATATCAGTAATAATATATTTTCCTCTCTAAACACTAATCATTAATGATATTTCTACCCTATTTTCCCCATCCAAACTAATACTACCTCATGTCTTAGGGTTCAAAGGGAGGTTTTTTTAGTGGAATGGAATAACAGCCAACAATTGACTTTTGTAACTTCAATTAAATTCCTTTATCATATCTATTAATTTATTTAATGAATGGCAATGTGAATGGCAGCCTTTTCACACACAGCTAAAATTCTATAAACATGATTAGTATAAACGTGTTTGAAACGTGTTTAAACTAATCACGAGCCTTTCACACACAGAAATTTCGTTGCGATCGTTAATAGTTTCGTGATTAACTACTGCTCGTAAAATGCGCAGTAGTGCCATTGCGCATTGAAGGTCATGTCATATCAATCAAAGCGCACGCTCCATCCAGTTTAAACACGTTTAAACACGAATTTCCTTTCACACACAAAATGTCAAGCTCTCTAGATACGAACTTCGTATCTGCAGCCTGCTTTTAGGGGCGTATGGATCGCGACTTCGTATCTATCCCAACATCGTATAAACGATGTTCACACTGGGAAATTTTGTCTATAAACATGTTTAAAACTGTTGAGTGATTCTAATCATCTCTAGATACGATGAATTTTAGCTGTGTGTGAAAAGGCTGTAAGTCAGCCAGAGAGAGAATGAGAACGACCAGACTTTACCACTCTTGCGATAATAAGTGACGACTTTTGCAGCCTCTGGCCTTGTGAATATACCACAATGGGGCATCGTTACTGTCACTGGAATGTCAAAGGTTGCATCGGATGGCGACATTCTCAAGCCGAAGGAAATAATGGCTTCCGTTTCCTTCAGCGCCAACCCAGGTGGAATGTCAAAGATTGGTTCGACGGTGACATCCTTTGCTCTGTAAGCTTGATTTGGTGGAATTCTTACTTCAATACCATACTTCTCAAGCCGAATCACGTCAGTATCCTTACTCAAATCATCCCTGCTTTCACTGAGAACTGGGATTTTTTCCGGAGGGGCACTCGTTGAAGAGATATGGTGAACAGACTCTATTATCTGTCCCTCGTCATCTATAGGTTGTGAAGTGTACTCATGCGGTCTGAAATCCACCTGCTTTACTCCTTCCCTAGATTCCATCCATGCAACAATGGCTTGCTTAGAATGCTCTTTTTCTGTACATGATATTGGGTAAAATACTAGTAACAATAACTGGATTTATTAGCGCCTTTTTCCTTAAATAAAATCCTACTTTTGAACCGAATCACCAACGTTGAGGTAGTTGAGGTATTAAATTCCAAAGATCTTTGGAAACGCATAGAGACCATATAATGTGATATGCGCTATACAAAAACCAAACAATAATGTCATTATTACTGGACTTTTTGAAGAGTGATTTTATGATAAGAATAAACTATAATACATAGAAGATAGTGTTATACTTTATATTCTTGCATAATAATAGGGTTATGTTTTTTTAATTGTCGTTTCATTAATATTGTATGAGAACGAACATGTAAACATGATGCAATTACTGCTCTTTGGACATGATCCATAATAAAGATAAAAGGAGATACCTACCTTCATATTCAAAATGCTCGTCAATACTCAGAACTCTAAAGTAAAAGACCAAAATTGTATGCAAATTTTTAGCAATATCCAGGTACAGACAAAAGATACGTATCATCTTATAGCAATCTAAGATTCTATTATTAACACGAAATTCATTTGATCGTCATGCATGTTGACATTTTATTTGACTATCCAGTAATTGTTTTCGAAAATTATATCAAAGAAGGTGTAGAAATAGAGTGATTAGTATAGGCAAGTCTTATCTCAACCTGGCTGAGGATTAGCTCTCGATAGGCCTTTGTCCTTTGCTTATGTGTTATGTTAAAGATAAACTTGAGTACTGGTAATGCGATTGCATTGTGAAAGAAAAGGTGTGAAGTGGGTCAGAAAAGTTGATCATATAGCATGTAAGTAATGGTGTGTAATGCAAGGTTGTGGTGTCATCAAAATCATCATAAATTTGGCAGAGTCTTGGTAAAGTAACAATCACTTACACAGAAAGATGTATATGGGACAACACACATGGTGTCGGGGCTAGTACTACCCTGATTTCCTTAATATCTTTCTATGCTCATTACTCAGCCAGTATATATTTTCTTCCAAAATTTGTTTGGCACATAACATTTATTTGTAATCTTGAACATTCAGTGTAAGTTTCGTTAAATTCTGTGAGAATTAATTTTCTTTTTTTACCAGAACTCAAGTTTATCTCTAAGTGTAATGTATTGTTCTTTACTGTATGCTTTTATTTCTCATGTGATATTTGGATTTCTTTTCTTTCTGCTTTGCTTCACATATTTTACTGCATATATGAGTGTTGTGGAAATAAATTAATTGAAGTCAGTTATGCAATTCGTATTACAAGTAATCAGGGTAATCCCACGAGAAACAAGAGAAAGGCATAACATATACCTTTGAACTCCGTCACGTGTGTGTCTAGAAGTTGAGAAGGTCCGTTTATGCGAACGAGCTGAACCGGGAATGTATGCAAATGAAATGAACATTGAAGAAATTTACATTATTATAAATATCTGTCTGAGACTCAACAGACATATTTGAACTCAACACAAAATACTAAAATAAACTTTGGTCTCCTTGCAAGAACTTTATAATTAACTCACAAACTACCTATGCATGTTGAAATGGCATATAATAGCAGGATACGTGAAGCGAGCCACCCTCATGCTATTGAGAAATACTTCCCAATTAATTAAATTCACTTAAAGGGATAGTTGAGTTCTGTTGCAGAGGGCGCTACACAAAATAATTTTCTTGTGAGATAATGAAAAACTGAGTGTCAAATTTGAAAGAACATAATATTTAAATGACAAAATCATCGTCGTTTGATCAAAATCGGTTCAGAGACGGCTGAAATATAACGATTTCTAATACTTGTGTACCACTACAAATATTAGATAGTTTGAAAAAAAAAAAAAAAAACCGTTGAAAAAAAACGAAATAACGCCTTTTACGTCGTACTTCAGCCAATGCCGGTGTTGGCTTTTTTGTTGGCACTTTCGTGTTGCTTATATTACTCACAATTAGCCGGCTCATGTATTGTTATTTTTAATTGAATAATTAAGTAACGGTCACCGTGTTTTTTTTTTAAATGGAACTGAATTGGTATGATCGTATTGGCTAAATTTCACACATTTTGGGGTCTAAAATTACCTTCATAGCAATTTTAGGTTCTAAAATGGCGCTATAAATGTCATAGATAAGAATAAAGCAATAACCATGCACTTTGAAGGCATTCATGGTCTGAAAACAGAACTCAACTATCCCTTTAAGTATTAGAAAACATCATGGGTATATTACACCCTTTTAACACCCTGTTATTCAAGAATTAGAAGAAAAAATGTATTATATTAAAGACAGAGGAACTTACAATATTTCGGAAAGCGAACATCTTCCTCCTCCCCCTCTCGCAATGTGCTGACACTATAAGATGATAATAATAATCACAACATTAACAATACTAATACTAGTACTACTACTACTACTAATAATAATAATGATAATGTAATCATAACAATAATGATAATATAAATAATAATAATGATAACAATAATTATGAGGGAAAAAAACTGTTGTTTACCCATGAAAGCCTCATCAGCCACATTGCCATTCTTCCTGAGTTCCTGCTATTAGTTTTACTTATGATTCTTTTGTCTGAACGTAATTGGTCTTTAGTCTCGGGTCTCAGGGAGAGAGTTTTATCTGTAATAATTTTCCCTCAAAGCGTGTTTAATCTGCACTTATGTCAGGTAAAAACACTGTTATTTGACACAAGGCATATAACGCCATTATAGTTCTTCTGTACCTGATAAAAAGTTAGAAACTAATAATACCCCTTGAAACGCATTTTAAAGTAATGTTATACCTGCTTGAGGAGTCGCTTCTGACACTAGGAGTTTTAGATCGCTTATGATGAATCGTCTCCGCCCAGAGCCCCCTTGCTCCTGGAATCTTTGGAGTGGAAAATAATAATCGCCAGTTGCCGAATAGCCAAGGTGTTGTCAATTTGAGATATATTTTCCAAATCATTAGCAGTGGTCACAACAATGTAATTGTATAGCCCAGTGACCAAACGATCATATGTGCCCTTTGCATTACTTTTCCATTTTTCTTCCATGGACATCAGAAATACATTATTGAAAATATATTATGTTATCTCAACAGTTCAACAAATATTTGTATCTTTAGTAGTCAATTTTATTTAAATTATAAATGTAAATTACACTGAATATATGTTTCCTAATTTGTTGCAAATGAAAATAGATAAAGTTCCTGTGGAGGGGTAAATATGAAGAAGAAAAAAAAAATTGTATGATAGCAATACTATAATAGTAAGATAAAAAAAAATTATCCAAATAAAGTCTTTATTCAATATTTCTCAAATCATAAAACAGTTGTAAAAGTGTACAAAATGAAGGATACATACCTTTGACCAAGAAAGGTACAACGAGAGGGAGAGAAAGAGAGGTCGTTTTGAATTTCTGTGACATATAGGAAATAGGAGCTATATAGTACAGGTCATGACGCTCCGTTTGCTGTTTATCCTATTAAAGTTATACATAAGACACCTTCGATGTTATTTTGGACAGATTAGTGTCATACGCATTTAAAGGCTATACATGTTCCTAACTATTATATCATCACACTCATTGTTTCGAATTCAAATTCAGTATATACAAGATCCCCATCTACATGAGTGCACGATTAATAGTAGATCACCACGCCCATGAATCATATAGGCTCCTAGCTAAATCGGATATTATCTTTCTGCCCTGTCAAATGACAATGATGAAAAAGTTGCAACTGTGGTTGCACAATTTACACATTGATAACGACTAGACTAACGTCTAGCCCGCGGAAAAGTGGTAACAATCTTGGCCCCGTTTCATAAAGCCTACCAGTGATGGTAATTTTGCCATTAATGGTAAATTCCATGGAAATCTTAATTTGATTGGCTGATGAGCAATGTTGCCTTTAAGTTAATACTGATGGCAAACTTATCACCAGTGGTAAGTTGTATGCAACATGACCCTGGTTTGGAAGTACATGCTACGTATTTTGAAATATTAACTACAAACACCTACCGCGTGGAAACACTCACCTCCATCTTATACGCATGTCGGCCTAATGTCGTGGCGGTCCTTGATACTTCACGCGGGAATTCTTCTTCAAAAACGTCTTCCGCATTGTTGTCAGGTCCCTTATCTTTATAGAGAAGGTAGACAAAACGGAAACCAGGTAAAGATTTCCTTAAATCTCATTGATCAATTGAATTCGAGTAATGAACTTGATTGTATGATCCCTTAATTGCTTTGGTTCTTTAATTCCCCCGGATTGTTTGAGAATGAGTTTAATTGTGTGTCCATATTTAGTGCGTTCTTACCCGCTTTTCGTCCTTGTTCCAAAACAGGGATTGAATGTCTAGAATCGCTCACGGACTTCCACACTTCTCTTAGATGATCGTCTGCTATGGAGACAGAATGCTGCAAGCATTTCCAATAGCGGATCATGAAGATAGCAGCCTTTTGATTTGGGGTATAAACCCGAGACTCCTCGTGCTGTCTGCTTCTGAACTGGATGGTGTCAAGTGTCTGGTAGGACATACCCAATGCTAGACCAAGATGGTAGTACTGATCAGTGTTCATCTCTTTTGTGATGAAATCCTCACTTTGAATTTCTTCAGCGTTGCTATAAATGGAAATACAGGGAGAAGAGAGAAAAAATCATTATTTTAATTGATAAGGCTAGATGAATTCATTACCTAGCATTCCAGTCTTTCTATTTTTCCTCTATAAGTTCTTTCAACATTACAGTAATACATTAATAATTTATCTCGTGTAATGGTGATCATGTTTTTCAGCTGACACAATCGACATTGAAAAAACATTAACAGTACAAAAATTATAATGATTAAGAGTATGCCACACAATGCAAAAAGCATAGTAGTAATAGTAATGAGCAAAAAAAATTGGCACAAAAAGTTGTAAATGTGAAGCAAATATGTTTTATTAGAGTAATTTTACCTAAGGTCAGTGTTTGATCCGGGGACAATCTCATCTAGGCTTGAGTGTATGTCGGTGGAGAATCCTTGGAGAAAATGACAAAATGTTCTAGTGAACCCATTTTTCTAATTGGAACAAAGAAGTTTCGATTGATGATAATGTGGCATGACACTTGCGTAAACATTACAAATTTATTTCATTCTTTGTTCTTAAAGGTACCGTGCAATATGTTTTGTTGTACTACTACTATAAAATCACCCACGGATAAGTTTTCGTCAAGTTTACAAATTGATACATCTTAGAATATAACATAAATAAAAAATATGCAGTGATCCTGGATGCCATAAAAAATGATAGGATTGAAACATTTTAAGCTATAAACACTGTTGTTTATAGTATAGTTTGAAAAGGACGAAAAATAGGAGAAAAGAAGGAAGGAATTATGAGTACTGTTGGACAAAAGAATGCCAAAGGAGACCCTGAGGGTGGAGTCCGTCCTGAAGATTCGGCCAGCCAGTGTGGGAGCACTACATCTTCAGTGCGACTGCGGACTATGGCACGTAGAGCTGCTTTAGCTGTTGAGGCTGAAGCACTGAAACAGAAGATGGCGCTGGAAAAGGAGGAGTTAGCTTTGAAACAGCGTAAAGCTCAGCTAGATATGGATACCAGGATGAAAATATCTGATGCTGAGACACAAGTCTATTTGAATGAAGCGGATAGGCTATTGTCGGATGAAGCTAGTGCTCCTCAGAAACATCCAGTTGAAGTGAATGAAACGTTGGCTTATCCGCTGGACTCTGGAATGCCAACGCCAACCCAGGTTGAACAGAGTACGAAGCCAACGGAGGCTTTGTTGCTGCAGATTTTGCAGGAGGGACAGAAACAACAGAGGCAATTATTGGAGTCTCTTAATGTGCCTCAAACACAAATGATGACGTATGATGGCAACCCTCTTAAGTTTTGGGAGTTTTGGAGGGCGTTTGAGAACTCAATAGACTGTACAAGTATTCCGGACAGTGCCAAACTGACCCGCCTTCTATACTACTGCGAAGGAGATGCCCGCAAAATCTTGCAGCCTTGTAGTATTATGCCATCTGGCGAAGGGTATATGAGGGCGAAGGCCATGCTACAAGAGAGGTTTGGTACACCCTTCATGATAGCTGATGCATGGATCAGGAAAGTGACCGGAGGGCGGAAGATCACCGGACGGGACAAGAGGGCCCTAAGGGAATTCGCAGATGAACTGCAAGTTTGCTCACTGACTTTAGATGCCATGGGTTACATTGGCGATTTGTCACCACAGTTAGTCCTTGTCCAGATAGTTGAACGACTACCACTATACTTATGCGGGAGATGGCTGAGTGTGGTACGAAGAATCAGGCGAGAGGATAGACTTCCTAACATATTTGACCTGGTGGATTTTGTCCAAGGTGCAGCCGACGAGGAGAATGATCCGGTCTACGGAAGGCTTCTTACCAAGGATCAGGGCGGTAGAGGCATCTCCCAGAACAAGAAGTCGACAGGACTGAAGAAAGGTGCTTTCTCCACGACAGCCACAGGCAATGATGTGACACCACAGCTGTGTGTGATATGCAAGGAATCGCACAGTCTGTTTGGCTGTGACAAGTTCAAACGAATGCAGCTAGATGACCGGCTGAAACTGGTGAGGGAAAACAGGCTTTGTTTTAACTGTTTGGAGAAGGGACACATGTCGAGATACTGTAAACTAAAGAGGGTATGTTCAGTTTACGGATGCAACAGAAAACATACTAAGTTTCTCCATCAGCAGAAACCAGAACAACCTCAGCAAGCACAAGAGGAAGCTGTTAGTCCTTCACCTGAGAAGATTGAGAGTCATGTCACAGGGGCCGGGAACATGAAGGTGCTATTGCCAATCGTTCCTGTCTGGGTTTATGCGGCAGGCAGTAATATTGGTGTAGAGACTCTAGCACTGTTGGATTCAGGCTCGACAAGGACCTTCTGTACCAAGAAGTTGGCAGCAAGAGTGAAAGCAAGTGGATTGTCCAGTATAGTGTCTGTCTCAACTCTGGAAAGAGCCAACAGCGAACTTCAGACCAGTGTTGTAAGCCTGAAAGTTGCAGCAAAGTCATCATCCAGGATGGTGAATCTCTCTAAAGTCTATACCAAGACAGACATTAACATTAATTCAGATCACCTGCTAATGAAGGAGGATGATGACAAACTCCAACATCTCACAGATGTCGACTTTCCATCGACTACCAAACTGCAGGTGGATCTCCTGATTGGGCAAGATTATCCAGAGCTTATTTGTCCTCTCGAGATACGACGTGGCAAGCCAAGAGACCCTTATGCAGTAAGGACAGTGCTGGGGTGGACCCTGAATGGGCCGGTTCAGAGTGATGGTAGGAAGATGGCTGTAACATCACACTATATCTCAGATGAAATATCCCTTGAAGACCAATGTAAGCTGTTTTGGTCTCTAGAAGGCGTTGAAACCCTCCATTGTGATGCTAAAGGAATGTCAGTCAAGGACCGAGAGGTATTGAAGCTATGGGAGGACAATGTGGTAATGAATGGAGGTCACTATCAACTGCCCATACCATTCAAAGAACGACCCCCGCCACTTTGTGACAATAGATGGATGGCCCAGCAGAGACTCCATTCACTTAGAAGACGACTTCTCAGGGATACGGCAATGCATGCTAAGTATTCACAGGGCATGGCTGACCTAGTTGCCAAGGGCTACGCCGAGGAAGTTGATGAAACTCAACCGCCAAATGGAACTTGTTGGTACCTACCACATCACCCAGTGATAAATCCGAAGAAACCAGACAAACTTCGGATTGTGTTTGATTGTGCTGCCAAGTGCTTAGGAGTTGGTCTGAACGATGTGGTGATGCAAGGGCCGGATCTGACCAACAAGTTGACTGGTGTACTTCTTCGATTTCGTCGAGCACCAATTGCCATCATGGCTGATGTGGAAGCCATGTTCCACCAGGTAACAGTCCATCCAGATGAACGAGATGTACTTCGCTTCTTGTGGTGGCCTGATGGAAGAGTGGATGAAGATCCTAAGACCTACAGGATGTGTGTGCACCTGTTTGGGGGTACATGGAGCCCCAGCTGTTGCTCGTTTGCCATGCGGCAAACAGCAAAGGACTATGGAGATCAGTGCAATACACAAGCACCAAGAGTAGTAGAGATGAATTTCTACGTAGACGACTGCCTGGTCTCTGTTGAAGAGGAAGATGAAGCTATAAGACTGGCATCAGAATTGAGAACCTTGTTGCAGAAGGGTGGATTTCGACTCGCTAAGTGGATGAGTAGCAACACAAGAGTTCTGCAAACCATACCAGTACAAGATCGGGCCAAGCAAGTGGTTGGACTCGACCTGAACTTTGATGCCCTACCAATAGAGCGTGCACTTGGTATGATATGGGATGTAGAAAGAGATAGCTTTGTCTACAAGATTCAGGCGAAGGACAAGCCTTTAACACGAAGAGGACTCTTAAGTATTGTTTCTTCTGACTACGACCCTTTGGGATATGCTAGCCCATTTGCACTGAGAGGGAAGTTGATTCTTCAGGAGTTGACCCGGAAGAAGCTGAACTGGGATGAGCCTATCCCTGACAGTGATGCAAAGAAATGGAAGGCTTGGATTGAGGAACTTCCACAGATGGAAGGAGTTGAGGTCAGTAGATGTGTCAAGCCTCACGACTTTGGCAGGATAACTGATTACGAGATCCACAACTTCTCTGATGCATCTGAAGTAGCCTACGGGGCCGTATCATATCTAGTGATGAGGAATGAGGAAGGACATGTGCATAGCAGTATCATTATGGCCAAGTCACGCCTTGCTCCAGTAAAGACCGTTACCATACCTCGACTAGAATTGATGGCAGCTACACTCGCTGTGAATATGGATGTCGTGATAAGAGGAGAGCTTGACCTGCCTGTGAAGAAATCATACTTTTGGACGGACAGTATGATAGTGTTGCACTACATAAAGAATGAACATAGAAGGTTTCGTGTCTTTGTGTCAAACAGGGTGGCTATCATACACAATGCCATAGAGATAGACCAATGGAGACATGTTGGCACAAAGGAGAATCCGGCAGACATCGTATCCAGAGGCATGTCACCGTCTGATCTGAAGGATGATGAGAAGTGGTTTGTTGGACCAGCCTTTCTACAACAGCCAGAGGAGAGATGGCCCACATGTCCCATAGAGAAGGATGGGATCAGAGAGGATGATCCAGAGGTGAAGCCTGTAGTCCAGAACTTTGCTACAAGTGAGGGCAAGAAGTGCATTGACCAGCTCTTCATGCACTATTCGTCCTGGACGAGACTACGCAGAGCGGTAGCTTGGTGGATGAGGTTGAAGGAAATCCTTAGTAGGAATGTAAAGAACTGTACTCCAGTTAAAGAATTGAGCAGACACTTGACAGTGGAGGACTTGAACTATGCTGAAAATGCCATCTTTCAGCATATTCAGACCGAGTCGTTCGATGAGGAGATGACAACCTTAAGGGAGAGAGTTAGAGATCCACAGGGACGAGAGAGACCTGTGAAGAAGGAGTCGAGGCTTGCAAGGTTGGATCCTGTTTTGCAAGATGGTCTACTGAGGGTAGGAGGCAGGCTTGGACGAGCACATATCCCAGACACTGCAAAGCATCAGGTGATACTGCCTAGAAGGCATCATGTGTCAGCACTGTTGGTATGGCACATACACGAGAAAGTTGGACATCAAGGCCAAAATCATGTTTTGGCAGAACTCAAGCAGTACTACTGGATTCTGGGAGCTGGGGTTCTGGTGAGAGGCTTGTTAAGCAAGTGTGTAACTTGTCGTCGCTACCAGGCCAAGGTCGGCAAGCAGAAGATGGCTGATCTACCTGCCTTCCGAGTAGTAGCTGATGAGCCAGCATTTACACATGTGAGGATGGACTACTTCGGTCCTTATGAGATCAAGTGTGGGCGCTCTGTAAGAAAGAGATACGGCGTGATATTCACATGCATGACAACTAGAGCTATCCACATCGAGGTTGCCAATTCTTTAGACACCAGCTCATGCATTGATGCCATCAGACGCATGATGAGCAGGAGAGGACCAATAAAGAGGTTGGTCTCGGACAATGGCACCAATTTGGTAGGCGCTAAAGCTGAGCTGAGGAAGGCACTGAGTGATTGGAACGTTGATGAAATCTCAAACTTCACGGCTAATCACAGTATAGATTGGAGTTTCAACCCGCCAGGGGCCTCACATCATGGCGGTGTGTGGGAGAGACAAATAAGGACGATCAGGAAACTACTGCATGCTCTTCTCAACGAGCAGTATTTAAGGACATGTCAGTCGGAGGAGCAGCTTCACACTCTGATGTGCGAGGTAGAGGCAATCATCAACAGCAGGCCTCTTACTCGTGTCTCTGATGATCCTGGAGATCTGGAAGTCATCACGCCCAGCAGTCTGCTACACATGAAGCAGACCTCAGCACCACCTCCGAGTAAGTCCACTGAGGGAGATGTCTTCGCCAGGAGACGTTGGAGGCAGATGCAGTACCTGGCTGATCTCTTTTGGAAGAGGTGGATTAGGGAGTATCTACCTAGTCTACAGCAACGTCAGCGGTGGCAGCAGCCTGAACGCAATCTTCAGGTTGGTGATGTGGTTCTCATCGCAGACGGAACTGTGCCGAGGTGTTGCTGGCTGATGGGACGCGTTTTAGAAGTGTACCCTGGTAAGCGGGGATATGTACGTAGCGTGAAGGTTAAGACTGCAACGTCGACACTCGTCAGACCCATCGCGAAGCTTTGTTTACTTCTCGAGCAAGAGGAATCGCGATAGACGACTTCGAGAAGTTAGCCATTTTTATTTGTTGTTTTTAGAGCTGATACAAAATAATTCCAGTTCAATTCAAGATAGGGATTACTTTAGGTAGCGTTGAGCAAAAAACATTCAACTTCTGTGGACACAGCATCTAGTTTAGGGAGCATTGAGCATGAAACATTCAACTTTTGTGGACACAGTATCTAGTTTCGCATAAATGGATTCGGTTTAGATTCGCTTCAACAAGAAGAGACTTTACTACAGTGATATTATACAGATACTTTGTGTTTCGTAGTGACTTGCTGAAATGTTTAATTGAATTGAAGCATAACTCATTTCTAGTTAGAATTCAGTTTCTAAAGATAGTATTCTGATGGTAATACAATAGTTTGTAATCAATAGATAAGGAAAGAAATACAGGTAGTATGTCCTTATTGTCATATTATTAGTGTTCTGCTATTCGGTAAGGACATATGTTTCCATAGCAACCACCTTTTTGGATTTAAAGGGACTGTATTTATCGAAGTCTTGAAAATTTCAAGAGAGTGACAGTGTTGTTATAGATGTTGGCAGTGAAAGGTTTGGTAAATTCAAAGTATTCGGTTAATTTAAGGGGCCGGGATGTTGATACGAGTTTTTCCCAATTTGTTATTGTGACTTCAGAAGCGGGGTTTTTAGCTGGATTCTGCATTCAGGTCATAGAGGGCGGGATTTGATTCTGTGGAGCTACTGATTTACGTTACACTGAATGTTTATTACACTGAAAAGTCTACTGTAATTTTGTTTTCCTGAGACAGCCCAATGTTGTAAGTAGAAAATTACTGCATATTATGATAGCTCAATATTTACTCTTTTGCCTGATGTTAATGGTGATTATAATGGTGGATTGATGTGATGTATGAAATAAGATTAGAATCATAGAACATCCATACGTTTTGAATGTAAATGTACCACATATAAGTTTTGGCGTAAGTAGCGTATACGATAATTCATGCTGGAAAAGTACGAAATATCCAAGTAAGGTTATGATATTATGAATGAGAAGCTCTATTAATGTATGAGAGAATACGATTATGACTTAATTATGAACAGAAGATGATGGTCTAAATTTAGTTAGCTAGGGAAAGTAGCATTTGAGGTAAAAGGGAAATTTTAGCACAAAATGACAGAAAGTAGGTCGGGTCAATTTGCCTGACAAGGGTAGGCATACAAAATATGGAGTGAATATTTTGATACAGGCATCAAGGATAAGAATGTCATTTATAGTTATTATTCGGTGCTATGCATTTGGAAGACAGTTTGTTGCATCAAACTTGATTGTTTTAATTGCGTAATGCATATGTATATCAGCCATGCTGATAATTTGTTTTATTTGTTCTATCTTTTATTAAAGGTTGAACCACTCATTGGTATCATCGCAAGGGCATTGTTGTCGAGTCGTCATTGCAGTTGGGCTTAGTAATAGACATAACCTTACTTGGATATTTCGTACTTTTCCAGCATGAATTATCGTATACGCTACTTACGCCAAAACTTATATGTGGTACATTTACATTCAAAACGTATGGATGTTCTATGATTCTAATCTTATTTCATACATCACATCAATCCACCATTATAATCACCATTAACATCAGGCAAAAGAGTAAATATTGAGCTATCATAATATGCAGTAATTTTCTACTTACAACATTGGGCTGTCTCAGGAAAACAAAATTACAGTAGACTTTTCAGTGTAATAAACATTCAGTGTAACGTAAATCAGTAGCTCCACAGAATCAAATCCCGCCCTCTATGACCTGAATGCAGAATCCAGCTAAAAACCCCGCTTCTGAAGTCACAATAACAAATTGGGAAAAACTCGTATCAACAACTACTATAAAATCACCCACGGATAAGTTTTCGTCAAGTTTACAAATTGATACATCTTAGAATATAACATAAATAAAAAATATGCAGTGATCCTGAATGCCATAAAAAATGATAGGATTGAAACATTTTAAGCTATAAACACTGTTGTTTATAGTATAGTTTGAAAAGGACGAGAAATAGGAGAAAAGAAGGGAGGAATTAAAAGAAGATGAAGTAGAAGAAATATTAGATGAAGAAGATGACAAAGAAGAAGAAGGAAGAGAGAGGGAAGGAGAAGAATGATGAGGAGAAGAAGAAGATTGACAAACCAGTCCGTATAGCCATGAACGCCATGCTGGTATGTGGTTGATTGGTATTTGTTGCTGAAATCGAAATGTTAATCATCTGCATTCTGGCATTGGTTTCCGTCGTAATTGGCATCGAAACTAGTGTCTTCTGCCGGTTGAATAATTCTGTCGCAGATATGATCTGACAAAATATTATATGTTTATTATTTAGTGTTGTTTAGTCCCAACAGAATTGGGGCAATGCTAAAGACGCCGTGATTACTCCGCAATAATTTCCAACACTTATCGAATTTAGCCCTGCAGGCCTGATAAAAACCCGATTTAAATCGGTTTCCCGATTTTTTTTTATTTTTCCCGATTTTTTCCCGATTTTTTTTTCTTCCCGATTTAAAAAAAAAAAAAAAAAAAAAAAAAAAAATCCAGATTTTTTTTTTTTTTTTTTTTTTTTTTTACCAGATTGTTTTTCCTACCCTATTTTATTCTGATTTTCCTGATTCCCCCCTTATTTTCTCTATTCTTCACTATTTTTTCCCCAATTTTCTTACTCGAAAAGGGGGAATGTTGTTAGATGCCATTTGTTTCCCCACGAATCCTCTTCTTTTTTTTTTTACCCAAGGGAGGTGTGGTTGAGGGGAAAACAAAAAACCTATTTTTTGTTTAGCGCTCACTATCACCCCTGGCCCTGTGGGCTAAAAGTAAAACAAAATATAACCCTAATATTTGCCCTATACCTAACCAAATCCCAAATGCCACCCTGACACTTACCCTATACTTTTGCTTTAAGCCAGTAGCGAATGCAGCGCGAAACAAACATCCTGATTTAAAAACCAACTTTTGTTTGTGATACGCACGTGCATATATATAGTATACACTCACGAAAATAGCCTAAAATAGAGGCATAGCCTGATGAAGTTTACTGAGAGTTAAATCGGCATGAGCAGGCCATTAATAGTAGCACGGAGGAATTTTTTTTGCATCTAATGCCTTGTACCAAGCACATCTTTAAAAAAAAAATCGAATGTTGAAATACTAACCTAAAAATCCTTGTAGAATAGTTTTTACCTTTTTTCTCCGATTGCATTCGAGCTCTAGATCACGTGACTCAGGTTCAAGTGCAAAACATCTTCCAGGATGTACTTGACGGTATAGACATTTTTCCTCTTCTTCCTGAATTTTCTGTTTTAAAAAAAATACACAAAAACAGTAACAGCACATTTAATAAGTGTAATGATTGAAATACATAAAGTTAATAATGTAATTGTGAACCTACTACGATTATTGAATTAGATTAAAGTATGTTGCATTTGATGGAAATCTGTGAAACAGTTCTAAAATATTTACTTCGAAATATTTCACACGTTTAAGTTAATGAAACTGTGTTTTTTTATTAACTATCTAGATTAAAAAATATCTTCAGGGTCTCCAAAATATTGTCTGAATCTGGAACACTATTCACATGTTGATAGAATGAGTTTTGCTTTATAATGTGACTTTCTTGATGTATCATACTGTACTCAAAGGAATTTCCTACTTGTCTGGACAAAAAAATTATAAGGAATTTCAAAACCATACGATATATGTCGTTTAAACACCATGAAATAGGTGATTTTAAAGGTTATTTGTACGAAAGGATAGTTTTGAAATTGGAGGTCAAATACAGAGAGACCGTTGTTAAACATTTCTATTTTTTAGACCGATACTAAGTTACTGGGTGCAACTTTGTAAGAGAGACAATCGTACTATAAAAGTAAACAATCTGACAATTATGAAATACTGTTTTTTAAACTTATTATAAAATATATGTAACAATTTCCAGCTAAGCCATGCGCCATCTTCAGAGGTGTATAAATTGATGTTGCCTTATCAATAACAATGATAGGCCTTAATATACATCATCCAAGAAATGAGAGTAAACCCGTAACAAAAGTTAAACATTTTTAAGTAACCATTTACAAAATTTAATGAAAAACAAGACTTAAAGACGATGAAAGACTAGGCATTCTGTAACACATTTAAGGTACAACACATTTCTTCCATGATAACCGTGCTGACAATGTAGCTCACTAAGCGGTTTCATTGGAACATTTTTGTTTTAATCAAGAGGGTGTACTCACTTTGTTCGGATATTTCGTCTATCACGGTTAAAGAAATAGTAAATATAGTTTAAATAACGATCCTCGATATATATATATGTATATATATATATATATATATATATATATTTCCTCATATTACCTGAACAATGTAAGGTATGTCTTCATGTATGTATATCCGGAGTGTGATGTCTTCTCCATGTGCCATGTCAACGGGGAGGAAAGGGGTGCACACCATTCGTTTACCATGAGCATGATGAAGCTCTATCGGTATCCATAGCTGAACCTTGTCCTTGATGACAGATAAGGCATCTATGATGAGGTTTATTTCCCTTTCTTTAATGATACATTGCGTATCATTATCTTCAAAGGATTGATCACGGTTAACTGCAAGTAATTGCATATTGAAAAAAATATATTGCAAATATGTTGCAAATTTTCTAGTTTACAACATTCACGCTAATAAGTAGGCTATTAATACAATTGAGGAAATTATGTTATAAAATGGAATTTCGATGAAATATATAACTAGCTGAGTGAGCAATGTATGCGAAATGACCTGTAAAAGTTGTTAGAAGCATATTATTATCAATTAACTGTTTCACTGCGCCAATTATAGGGGCCACTTGAATCTCACGTGGCGAATCTTGAAAAGTGGTATTTTGTATTAATAACAACTCCCTTGCATCCTTCTATTGACAACTAACCTGAAGTTGATTCAGTTTGTTTCCAAATGATCCCAGCATGAACATCGTTTGACTCCAGCAATGTTGCGGCATGAGGGAGACTTAACGTTATAGGCAGGTTCGTAAAATAGCTCCACTGTGCAGGGAATGTGATGCCAATGCCATAGCCTGTAAGAAACTCCCTCTCTCGGATAGGTGGAGGATCATCAGTGACTAGAGCTATTGATACATCGTGGCAAGTACCAGCTTGCACTGTCCTTGGTGGAATCGACATTGTGACGTCACAACTATCCAAATGTAGAATCCCTCCTTCACAGCCAATACTGCGATGACTTTCAGTAGATCTTGCAACCGGCAGATCTAAACAAAAAAAAGGGGGGGGGAAGAAACAAGGGGAAAAAAGAAAAGATGAATGGTATGAGGTATTGATAGCTCAATGATTAGTCATTCCTTATTACTCTAATGGATAGCCTCGAAAAGGAAATCGTTTTATCAACGCTGTACGGATGATAAGTTAACGAATCGTCAAATCGAATTTGATTACAGAATAACGCCGCACTATCATATCCAAAAGGATATTACATATGTATTTTGGTTTTGTAGAAATAAAGAGCGCATAAACTATTGTTTTTGTTTTAACTTTGGCGATGTGCATAAAACGGATAGGGGGTAGCATCTTCCTTTATTGACCCTTGAAAACAATCTAGTGAGTAGTAAAACCATTTAAAATTAGATGAAATACGTACCCCGGAATATATGAACATCATCTTCGGATAAGCTGCCAAAGAACCAAAAATATATTGTATGAGTATATTTAGAAATGTGATGTTTAACCTATGATACATACATGTTTTACGCAGTAGTACATATTGTTTTATATTACAGTCATGCATCAACATTGTTTTGATTTATGTGATGATGTACAATTATAATTCTTTAACGACTGCTGTTTGCAGCAAAATAAAATATGTAGCCGACAAATGTTATGAAAATTAAAATCGAATCTTTCAGAGAACCTGAATTGAATCATACAAGAATTTTATACAAAATGTGAACATTTATTACGCAGATAATTTCCGCAAGTTTATTGATTCATTTTTGAATAATTAAATCTTGAATCATATTTTACAGAGCCTGGTAAACTAATTGTTATAATTGTCTTACCTCCGGAATACCATTTGCCTAATGCGCTCCTCTCTGGCATACTGTACCGGAGTAAAACCTTTGTTATCTTTGATGTCGATCTTGGATCCTTGATTTATTAGGAATTGTATCAGAGCCTCCGCAGGTGATAAGTCATCCTCACTCTCTTGTTGTATCTATTTCGTTAAAGAAAGCGGTAAAAGAACTATATTATTTTGAATAAAACAAAAATACAAAAATAGAATGTCTCGATTAAATGTTTTTTCTACACTCCTACCGGTAACAGGGGATAAGATCCTTATATTTGCAGCAATCTATTCACATGGCACTATCGGCTTTTAATATGAAATCATAATGATGATAATAATGGTAGTGATAATGGTAATAATAATGATATTGATAGGCCTAAAACTACTACTGCTACTATTACTACTACTAATAATGAATCAACATATACAGACTAAACGCAACTAAGCCACCCCTCCATCCACCCCCCCCCCCTCCTCCCCAACCTTCGTTCTATGGCCCCTCCCACACATTTACTCACGCACACATCACACACATTCACAAAAGTTTCCTTGCATCAGTTGGTGAAAAGATCGTTAAAAAATATGTATCAAATAAAACAAACGGAGAGGGTATTTATTTTATAAATTACATATCAACAAATATTTATAACGTTCACTATTAAGGACCTAGTCCTTCCCATATTGAGAGATTCATTTAGATACACTAACAGTTTTCACTTAAAGAGAAACTAAATCAAGAAAAACGTAACCTGCTTCAAAGTTGTCGTCACTTCAACCTGTCTGTTCTTACAGTGGCATAGTCTGATGGCAACATGTAAGGGCGTCTGGCCATCGTGTGACTGAGGATTTAAACCAGCACCTACTGATATCAACTTCTCAATGATTGATGTTAGCCCGCTTATAGTAGCAAGGTGAATGGGTGTTAGACCAGTACTGTCGCTGTGATGTATAGATGATGCATCCTGTGAAGAAAAAAAAAATTACTGATGGAATTTAGATATTGTCATGCAATGGTAATGTGCCTTTTATGAATTTTGATATTTGTCTGTATAACCATATGAACACATATATAAACTTCATACCAAAACGCCATCCATAATATAAAGTCGCAGATATACAAATAATGACACTAGATAGATAAACCATTGTCGAACATTCATTACTATCATTATCATTATATAATAATGTGATATACATTTTTACTATTAGCTTGTTATAACCATCATAAAAGAGAAGATACTTATTTAGGATTACTATCAGCAGGCCTAATAGCAGAACTGTATAGTAATCAAAACTATTGTTGATGAAGTGTAAAGGTAATTTGGGGTATAGTATAGGTGACGGTGGTACTGGTGGTAATGCATCAGCTATATGACATAAGTCATTAGTATAAACAACACAAGCTGAATGAGTTACAGCTACATGTACCTTATCAAGAAGAATCCGTGCAGTGTCAACATTGCCACATCTCAGTGCAATACTTATTGGTGATTGACCTCTTCTGGAAAGTCTCGTGCTCATAATTGCTTTCTGATCCATTAAATCCTTTATTATTGATTCATTCCCACTTTATTAAAAACAAAAAAACATCTTGAACATTTATTTATTATTTAAATATACATGTACTGTGAATTTGCTTTTTTATAGGGATCTTTACTCATTTTATCTTTTTTCACCCCCCCCCCCCTCTTTCTCTCTCTCTCTTTCTCGTTCTCTCTTTTCCTTTCTTTTCTCTTCTCTCGCGCTGCTTTTCTTTTGTTCCCCTTCCATTTTCCGCGCATTTCTAGTCCTTTCCTCTGTTTTGGTATTCTCGCGCATCTCTACCTCATTCTTCTTTTATTTCTAGTTTTCTCTGTTTCGTCATGTTTTTTTTTCTAACAAACTTATCCTCTTTATTTTGTGAGATGTGCTCACTTAGCAACGGTTACGCCTCATTTTCACTTTTTGAAATAAATCTGAATATATTTGTAATTCCTTGACAAAGAGTTGATGCCTACAATTTGTTAACCACCGGAGAACTATTTTCATTTTAAACTGTATTCTTATATACATTACTAACATTTGGAATCTAAGATCGCTTCTTTAGGTACAAAGTATTTATTAGCCTTGTAAATGTTCTGTTTATAATTAACCATAGCATGATTCTCAAATTATGGATGAAATTATATTTGCTTTCAAAGTTACATATTTTTTGCATCATATTTTTTCGGAATCATACAACATAACTAAGTATCAATAAAAGGTGATTTAATTTTAGCTAAAATTTAGGTTGTATCTCATACATTTTCTATTCTGCGTGTCCTTTGAAAGCGCTAATAAACCTTCGTTAAAATGGGATCCAAAGAAATAACATATTATACAAATATACACTGCCTTGAGAGGTTCTGGTTAAAACTATGCGCAAGAGGTGACTCTAATAGTACTATTTGCTGAGGGGCACAGCCCCGAAGCAAATGGTACTTTTTTTTTTTAGCCACCGAGGCCCATAGTTTAACCAGTACCTCGAATAGAAGGCACGGTATATTTGTTTTATATATCCTGCATCAAAATATTTTTTTTTTTTTTAATAAAAAATAAAACATTTTTGGGAAGAAAAAAATTTAGAGCAAAAATAATGTCAATTTTTATCTAAAAAGATTTAAAATATTTTGTTTTCATTAAATTAAGATTTTAAAAAAAAATTGATTCACATTGTTTTTTCAACTCCCAAATAGTAAACCCAGATAGTACTCTCATATAGTACTTTCTAAAATTAGGTCAAATATTTCTGGTCATGTGACGAGCTCTCAACCAATCAAAAGCCAACAAATTTTTGATGCAGGATATAATAAGCAATATTTCAAGAAAACTAAGAAAAAATGTTTTGCATGAATAAAAAGGATGAATGTCTTTATCGAATGCAACAACATTACATTTTAACCCTAGCAGTATTTTGTGACACAGTCAAGGAGAAGATTAGAACTATTATTAAAGTATGAACATGTTGTTGAAACGGTTCACCTTGTTGCAGCATAATGGAGGACTGTCCATCCCTCTGCATCTTTTTCCTCAATACCTGCATTGTTTTCGAGCAGCAGACGTACACAGTCCAGATGTCCTCCCCTTGCGGCAACCATAAGTGACGTGACACCTTCTAAGGTCTGTAAGATAAATAATATTGGTACGCTTCCTGCATTTGTTAAGTAGGTCTACAATACGATACATATGTAGTCCTAATCCAAATTCAATATAGTTTGCCCTACATAAGAGACATTGAGGGAGAATATGGAATGCTTATGACTTGGATGATCATTGTGTTGATAGAATACCATCTTTTCCTTTTTTAATGTATTTATTCGACAGTGATTATATTTCTTTTAACGCATACCTTCAGCACTGCTAGAACAATTATTTCATTACAATGCGATTTAAGAAGCTCTGTGCAGAAAAAAAAGGGATGGGACACTTGTAAGATCCATTAGCCATTCCGAATTCCAAATGTTTTGTTTAAAACGCATAACCGTAAACCTTGTACAATGTCCTCCTATTTTTTTCTCGCTGGTCATTTCCTTTCGTATTGTTCTTCTTTTTTAAAACACTTGTGTGTGTTTTCTATAGGGGGAAATCAAATCGTTCCCCTCTCATTATGATTTTCAAAATTTCAGGCTTTCTCAATTGAAGATTTAAAGCAAATTAATGAAAGATTGTGAAAAGTTTAGAATCGCTTAGCTTCTCTTGCTCAATTCGAGAATCTTCTTTATAGTTTCTCTACATAATCTCAAATAAATAGTGAATTTATAACACCAATATTATTTCTTCCAATACGATTTGTATTATTATTCTGATTTCCACTCTTCCCAATTTTAGACACCCTAATTCATAACTCGGTCATAGCTAAAGATCAATAACACCAGGGATGACGAAACCATGATAATTATTATGCCTGGGACAATTACCTCCCAATTACGTGACGCGGGTAGTTGTAAATGACTGCAGTAATGTCTCATCAACAGGTTATTTTAGAGAAAACAAAATAAAACCGTTGGGACAGTAAAACAGTTTGACAAATTGTGTGAGAGGTTCAATATTAAGGAATATTTAACTTTTCTCAGCTACATTCTTTCATTAGTATACTTTAAATCTTTACTCGTATATCTCAAAGCCTGAAATTGGGTAACTCATCCCGAAGGACCCGTCTATAATTTTCAATCTGATACAGCACACTTAAAAACACCACACAAAAATGGGTAGCTAAATCAATTACGACCAGCGCGACACGATTCGACTGTTTAGTAAGACAAAGAGCCGGTTGAATTGAGTAACCCACCTGAAGTCCAACTTTAAGAGCGATGAGACTATATCCCGATGAACCGCTGGAGTTATTTCTCAAGAAATGTTTCAAACATTCGAAATGACCATTATCTGCCAAACAATGAAAAGCTGTCCAACCGTAAATATTATGTGCCTCGATATTTGCTCCTTTCGTAATAAGATATTCTATAACGTCAAGATGACCCATACGAGCGGCAGCATGGAGGGATAGATCACCATCATTTGCTGCTTTATTCACCTCTGCTCCTTTGTTCACTAGATATTGTACAACATCGTGATGACCAGCATGTGAAGCAGCAAATAAAGGTGTACATCCATCGTTATCACCCATGTCTTTATCTGCTCCTTGACTGATGAGAAACTTGACAACTTCAATGTGACCACAGTATGATGCGGCACGGAGAGGCGTTATACCGTGACAACCTTTCCTATCAATATCCGCTCCTTTGTTAATCAGATACTTCACTATGTCTAGATGACCTTTATGAGATGCGACATGCAGAGGTGTAGAACCACGCTTTGTGGCTTTGTTCACCTCTGCTCCTTCGTTCACTAGATATTGTACAACATCGTGATGACCCTCCTGTGAAGCATCATGTAGAGGTGTATAGCCACTTTTATCACCCGCGTCTTTATCTGCTCGTTGACTGATAAGATACTTGACAGCTGCAAGATGGCCACATAATGAAGCGATACCAAGAGGCGTTTTACAGTTTGGACGTCGACTATCAATATCTGCTCCTTTGTTAATCAGATACTTCACTATGTCTAGATGACCGTTTTGAGATGCGGCATGCAGAGGTGTAGAACCATGCTTTGTGGCTTTGTTCACCTCTGCTCCTTCGTTCACTAGATATTGTACAACATCGTGATAACCCTCCTGTGAAGCATCATGTAGAGGTGTATAGCCACTTTTATCACCCGCGTCTTTATCTGCTCGTTGACTGATAAGATACTTGACAGCTGCAAGATGGCCACGGAATGATGCGACACCTAGGGGCGTCTCTCCGTTATAACCTCTCCTGTTAATATCTGCTCCTCTGTTCGTCAGAAACTTCAATATGTCTAGATGACCCGGACGAGCGGCAGCATGGAGGGATAGATCACCATCATTTGCTGCTTTGTTCACCTCTGCTCCTTCGTTCACTAGATATTGTACAACATCATGGTGACCCTCCTGTGAAGCACCGTATAGCGGTGTATAGCCATCGGTATTACCCATGTCTTTATCTGCTCGTTGAGTGATAAGGTACTTGACAACTGCAAGATGGCCACATAATGAAGCGATACCAAGAGGCGTTTTACAGTTTGGACCTCGACTATCAATATCTGCTCCTTTGTTAATCAGATACTTCACTATGTCTAGATGACCTTTATGAGATGCTGCATACAGAGGTGTAGAACCATCATTTGCTGCTTTGTTTACCTCTGCTCCTTCGTTCACTAGATATTGTACAACATCGTAATGACCCTTCTGAGAAGCAGCATATAGAGGTGTACAGCCATCGTTATCGCCCATGTCTTTATCTGCTCTTTGACTGGTCAGATACTTGACAACTGCAAGATGGCCATAAATTGATGCGACACCTAGGGGCGTCTTTCCATTATAACCTCTCCTATCAATATCTGCTCCTCTTGTAATCAGATACTTCACTATGTCTAGATGACCTTTATTAGATGCTGCATACATAGGGGTCCATTCATTTTTTGCTTTCGTATTTACATCTGCTCCTGCATCTACCAGACATTCAACAACAGTAAGGTGACCCTCCAGTGAGGCGAGATGCAAAGGTGTATAGCCATCATCGCCATCTCTGTCAATTTCAGCTCCTTCACTGATGAGACATTTAACAACGTCCAGATAACCATTTTCTGATGCGGCATGAAGTGGCGAGTCATCATATATCAATCGGTTCACATCTGCTCCTGCATCTACCAGAAATTTATCTAAGGCGAGATGTCCCTCCTGTAAAGCGCTATATAGACGTGTATAGCCACCACCACTATCTCTGTCAATTTCGACTCCTTTAGTTAAGAGATATTTCACAACATCAAGGTGACCCTTACTTGCTGAAGTATAAATGGGTGTAGAACCATTATATGAAGCTTTGTTTACATCTGCTCCAGAATTGACTAAACATTCAACAACACCAAAATTACCCTTCTCGGAAGCAAGATAGATAGGTGTATAGCCATTGCTATCACCAATATTGATATCTGCTCCTTTACCGATGAGATATTGAACAACATCCTGGTGACCACTCCGAGACGCGTAGTGAAGAGGGGAGTCACCGCTTCTATTTCGCTTTTCTAGATCCGCCCCTAAATCAATCAAATAGGTCACGAGGTCAATATGCCCTTCTTCTGAAGCAATGTGGAGGGATGTATTTCCATCAGGATCCACACTGTGCAGTATGACTAGCTTGGCATCACCTGTCTCGTCTTCTAGAATAGACCTTGTCTTTACAAGATCGCCTTCCTTCACCGCTGTAAAAAGCGCCATGTTCATTCTGTCTTCCTTCTCGGTATGTGTATTGTCTGTCGCCATAGGAAGAAATTATGTATTTATATCGGGCAGAAAGGTTGACTGGGAAATTAACCAATCCATAACAATTCAGTATTTAAATTTGAATGAACCAGGGTAACATAGGATATAGAAAGATAGAAAGACTATACATGGTACTGCAGATTAAAGAGATGATTGGTAGTACGAAATCGAGGGAAAGCACTGAATACTGACATTATGCTTTCACATTTTTATAGCACTTAAGACATGAAAGGATGGCTTATCTGAATGTGCTCATCTTCATTATCCGTCGTATTGGGTTTCCTGCATTCCATGATATTTCGAAAAGAGCGTTTATCCTATCAGGCGACGTAAAAGTTCAGTAAGGCTTTCTCTCCTATCGCTTTAAAAGAGCGTTTATCATATCCAGTGACGTAAAAGTTCAGTAAGGCTCTCTCTCCTATCGCTTCAAAAAGGCGTTTATCCTATCAGGTGGCGTACAAGTTCAGTAAGGCTTTCTCTCCTATCGCTTTAAAAGAGCGTTTATCCTATCAGGCGACGTAAAAGTTCAGTAAGGCTCTCTCTCCTATCGCTTCAAAAAGGCGTTTATCCTATCAGGTGGCGTACAAGTTCAGTAAGGCTTTCTCTCCTATCGCTTTAAAAGAGCGTTTATCCTATCCAGTGACGTAAAAGTTCAGTAAGGCTCTCTCTCCTATCGCTTCAAAAAGGCGTTTATCCTATCAGGTGGCGTACAAGTTCAGTAAGGCTTTCTCTCCTATCGCTTTAAAAGAGCGTTTATCCTATCAGGCGACGTAAAAGTTCAGTAAGGCTCTCTCTCCTATCGCTTCAAAAAGGGCGCTTATCCTATCAGGTGACGTACCAGTGCAGTAAGGCCCCCCCCCCCCTCTCTCTCTCTCTCTCTCTCTCTCCCTCTCTCTCTCATATTGCTTCAAATGGGGTTTCAAAGGTGGGTGGTTATCCTATCGGGTGTCGTACAAGTTCAGTAAGGCTCTCCCTCCTATCGCTCCAAACTAGTGTACATCCGCTTTGGATTCCATTTCCTCACATCAAAAAGCCATCCACAGTCTCGCACAAAGCATGCGATCTTTCTGGCCTACATCCTAACGTTATATCCACTCTGTAGACAAACATCTGATTTCCTGTCGACTCCGTGTAAAGAGACCGCTTCGCTTTATCTTAACTTCTATTGAAATGAGGCAAATATATGAGTCGCACAATTTTAGAGAAAAATGAGACACAATAGTAAACATGTTTTGTTCCGCTTCTATACAAAAAAAATTAACCCCAGCGTTGAATCTAAAGTCGCGTCATGAAAAGGTTTAGGGTAAAACAAACATAAAGTCAGCCTCCATATTTTCTACGCAGACCGTTTACGCACTAGTGAACATCAATGGTGCAAGGGTTTGGCCTCTTCCATTACGCGTGGTGAGGGGTGCCCCATGCATTGAACAGAGGGGTACTCCTTTGTCGATATTGTAGTCACATCCAGATATATCCCCACTGTGTGTCTGTATTTCTCTCATCTATACTATATAGCTGTAGGTATACACACAAATGTACGCACACTTGAACATGCGCACCCTCACACGCACATCTAATACACGTTCGTGTTGTAATTTAAAGGTGTTTGGAGATGAATTTCATTATATTTTTGTCTGCCCTTTTTTCAAGAAAGAAAAGCAGTTATACTTAGATCGACAGTTTATTGTGAGTAACCCTAGCACATTTCACATGGACAAATTGTCTAATAGATCTAGCGTTAAACAATTAAGAAAACTCGTAAAATTCATAATAGTAATACTACAATTCTTTTCGTTGGTTCCTAAGGCTGAAAGGCATGGTCCTATTTTTGTTAATAAAAGTGTAGTTACTCGTTGTGGTAGACAAACCAAACCACGTGATATTTTAGACTTATAACTTTAAACTGTATAGTGTATACTTAGTCTTTAGCTCATGTTTATTTTGTTTTAGAAATATAAAAATGTATATATCATGTCTATGTATTTTATCATAATATTTTACTTTGTTAAAATATATCTGTCTGTATTGTGTTGTTAATATGTTGTGCTCTCATACCCCTAGAGGGGGTCGATAGAGTCAAATAATATCTTATCTTATCTTATCTTATCTTATCTTATCTTATTCAATTTCGCAATTCTCTCTCTCTCTCTCACTCTCTCACTATCTCTCTTTCTCTCCTCCCCTCTCCCCTCTCTCTCTTTCTCTCTCTCTCTCTATCTCTTTCTCTCTCTCTCTCTCTCTCTCTCTATCTCTCGTTTTCTCTCTCTCTCTCTAGCTCCTCCTGACGTTTATCAGAACATGAATGACATTGGCATGCAAAATCTTTGGGGATTTTTTCTTCAAATCTTGAGAATTGCGTTTCAGGTTTAAAATGTGAACAAAATACATAGTCAACTTCTAAACTAAACCCGCTTACTTTATTCAAAGACATATGAAAACGCATGAGATAAATATACATACAATAGCGATGAAGGAACACACGATAATAACGAGTCATGGATTGAAAATGTAACTAATTGTAAATACAAAGCTAAGAATACATTAACATGTGAAACAGGGTATGTTATTTACTATGTTAAGTAAGTCATGTTAGTAGTTATAAGATTTGTATATTTCTCTGTGTTGATTCCTTTATGTGATTATATTTCTCGTCATTCATGCTTGTACAGCGCATAAAGAAGCTTATGTTTATTATGCGCTTTAAAATAATTTTATATTTAAAACTATATGTAACTTAATAAATAATAGTGTACTTGATATTTGTATAGTGAATAAATGTTAGATAAAGATTGAAATATGTCATCTTTAATCTTTGTGTATTAAAGCAACATCAACAGAGGAGACTTGAGTCAATTGACATGTAGAAAATTAAATTGCACACCATTCATCAGCAGATGTTTCAGCATTTTTTTTAGGAAATCAGGTCATGAAATTCTTAAATACATGTACCAACTTGCGATTATCATACAGGAAGAAACAAAAAAACGCACAAATTGTTCCTGAGTTGGCATAACAAAAACATTGAAAGAGTCCCACTTTTTTTATAAGAACTGGCCTACAAATTGTAAGATATTGAACAATTGACAAACATGTTGTGCATAAAAAGATAACTTTTACCTTCTGGCGAATATGGGCTGGTAAAGTACACAAGTTATAAGTTAAGTTAAAAAATGTGGCAAAAGGGGTTCACAAATTTGAAGGAAAAAAAATTCTCTCAACAGTGATAGGCTGGAAAAGCATGTTAGTGGTAAGTGAGTTGATAATGAGTAAGGCTTTATAATGAACTGGTAATGGTTGGCAAAGGTGTAACATTTTGAATCACTGAGGAGCTGCAAACTTCCTTTCACAAGATCTGATCATTGAGATGTTTAAACAAAAATGTACTACACCTGTATACACCTATCTTATGAAAATTGCAATGCACATTTGTAGAATTGTCAATATATGTTGTTTTAAAGAGATTGTATAACTCTATTTATTATACTGGAATTACCAGTACATATCCTTGTCGTATGGCACGAATTAACCAAAACACGTTCTGGAAGCCCACAAAACTATAAATTTACATACTTGAACTTGGAGAGTTGAGACAAAGTGGCACACACCATGATACATGTCATTTACATGACAATTAAGTTGTAATACTGCAATAGAAACATGTTTTTAAAATAGCAAAGTGATAGGCAATATCAATGATCTCAATTTCAAACGCAATCATATCTCCCAGATTATATAAAAGTGTATATAATGCAGTACACATACACTGTCATACATTAATATTTACATGTACAAATATTACATGTAAAATAAAGCAATGAATGATGAAGCAGACTCTCAAAAGTAGAAATCTTCAGGTAAGGAAAAGTACACCATACACTTTCAAGTTCAAGCACATACACATGTCATATCACATGTACATTATGTACGTTATTACCAAAGAAACAAAATAAGTCAGTCAGGCAGTCAATGGTGTCTGACAGTGAAGTCTAGAAAGTAGACATGTATCCTTGCATAATTTGAATATTAGGATAGTGCTAACGTTTAAATTTCACAGATAGGACATACGTGATATATTCATAATTCCTGCAAAGTTCTACATGTTGGCTGCAAATGGGACATAGTAACTTTAAAGAGAAGGTTGAGTTCTGGGGAGGGGTGAACATTCTTATTGAGCTTTTTCATTGTTATTATGCAAGTGTGGAGGAACATCATAGACTAAATGTTTCCTGGAAAGCATGGCTCTTCAAATGCCTTCATATTCTTAATATGACACGTAACAGGTTAAAAACGAGGCCCACATTTTTAAGCCACATGTTTGTGTACACACAGTCCCATATACATATTCTATGTTCAGTGCGTGATACTTTTACAAAGACTGGGCCAAATTTCTTATCCTTTTGATGATTTCAGAACCTTGCAGTACACACCAATACGTATAATATGCTACATTATCAACTTTCCGATCGACTCCACACCGTTTCTTTCACGATGCAATCATGATCAGAACTCAACTTTATCTTTAAATCATGAAAACTTGTCATGTATACATGTACATTGTCTGTTTGGAACCACGAGGGCGCCAACACAAGAGTTTTAAAACTGCAAACAATGTGTAAATGGACACTGTACATGTACTGTATGTGTACTAAACCTGTTAAAAAAGGAAATAAGGTTTTACGACTTGTGATATAATAAATATGTAACAAATATTACGTTTTAGATGGTCATAAAAAAATGAACAGTATCCAAGAAGAACAAATAAGAGAGATTCTGAAATTTGGGCTATCATGGCCATCTTAAACACTGCGTTTGCATCTTATCAGGAGGAAGATAACTTGTATCCGGTCTGTCTGAATAATAGACTATTTCCAAACCAAAGTGCCCATGAATGCTTCAGTTGAGCGAGTCTATAGTCTACTTGTACAGACTTTTACATTTTGATGCAAAAGAGATTCTCACTTTTTCTGGAGTAAAGCCTTTTTAATTATTGTTAGTTTGCG